GGGTCGACTCCCGCTGAGAGTCTTAACAAAACCAATGCGAGGTCTAAACTGCAGTCCACTCTGGATGAAAACAACTTTAGGGAAAGCAAGGCTTTGTGAAATTCAATGGAAACTTCAGCTCGATTCATATCATTGTGGGAAAATTCTACTACCAGTCCTTCATCACCTTAGACGAAATAGGGTAAATACATCTCATATTACTGATTTACTGGTAGTCTCGGAGCTCTACTCTAATATGAAATTATGTAAGATATACGTGATGCATAGCTATGGAACATCATGACTAAGGTAAGCAAGGTATGGCATTAATAGGCAGCGCATTGTGAGTCGAGATACCTTTTCACCAGCGGCTATTTCTAACAATAATGCGTTAAATAAATATCGTCAAGGTCGGTGATGAGAAGAGAATAGACGGAAGAAAATGGAAGGCGATGTTTTTTATCTGTCTAAAAATATCCCTATATAAAAAAATACATTTTTTAAATTAAATAGCATCATACAATAGCAAGAAACATTATAGGAAATATTATTATATAATAAACATTTAATTCATTAAGCAATAAATATTTGTTCAAAATGATGAGGTTATTGCTTTATCAAAGAGTCTGAAATGGTGTCCTTAGACCTACTTCTTTACCGCGCAATCACCAGAAATCCCGACTGCAGAGACCATGCCTGTTTGCGTGCCGCCTGTCTGGCCGTGCAATAGAGAGGTGCCAGATACAATGCCCTTACTAAGGCCATTGGACCTCCTGCTGTTAGCACTTCCTGTTTGTCCTGGTAGCCGTATACGTATTTGCTTGGCACCACTGGGCAAGGCAAAGCCAGAAATACTATTATTGCCTGAGCAGTTGGCATTAAAAATAGTTGTTGTCGCCGAAGAGTAGCAAGAAAGAGATTTTGAGGGAGATTTAGCAGAGTGAGAATCAAGAAAAAAGGGAAGTGAGGTTCTAGAAGATGTGCTTGACCGCAGGGACTCCGAAGTCTGCTTTTGGGGGATAAAGGGATTCCCAAAGTGGAGCTGTGGAGCATTTTGCTAAATTAAATGAAAAGGGTGTTAATTATGAAATAATTAGGCAATGATAATTTAAACTAAGAAAAAAGATAGTAGGGAATGGTCTATCATTCATCAGTATGAGAACAAGGAAGATAAAATAATCGTAATAAGGAAATAAAAAAATCCGGAACTCAATCTGAAAAATGCCTTTAACATCCGAAGAATATTTAAATAAGAGCCCAAATGACAAGTGCTTGATAGCATGGTAGCGAATTGACCAAAATGAAAGGGAAATGATGTTTTCCTAATTAGATAAATAATTCACTTGAATTAATATAGTTGAGAAACATGATTCAGCCTACATGCCTAACAAAAAAAAGATTAAGGCACGAATTAAATTTGTTCAAGTCCTACATAAGATCACACACAGCCATGATTCCGAAATATAAATCCTTATTAACAAATGGAGCATTAAGTGGCCTTGATACAAGCAAACAAACAAAAATATATACATACATACATACATACATACATACATACATACATACATACATACATACATACATACATACATAGGGACAGACAGATAGATAGATAGATAAATGGTATAACATGTGGCAAGGAAAATTTAATAATGAGAAATGAAATATGATCAAGGATGGGACTATGAAGAGTTACTAGAGCTAACTATTAAAATTGTAAAAAGACCAGATAATGGGATTAGGCAGAACAGAATACAGCGCTAAAACTAGTTTCTTAAGATAAACTTGGTTTTGATGATTCTCATGAGACAAAATTGTTGGGGAGATTTTCATTTCGTATGAAGTGCATGAGGAAGAGATTCGTAGGTCGATCTCAACAAAAAAAGAGGGGTGAATCCCGTTGTACTGCAGCCGTTAGGCGTTTATACGACGATGAGATCGACACAGTCCACGAGACCTCCTCTCTCAATTTGGGTAAAAAGAGTCTGGACTAGTTATCCTTCATACTGGTCTGGCTAATTTTGTTCGAGTGTGCGCATATATATGAGTGTATTTGTGTGTTTGCTTGTTAAGTTATATACGCAATTTCGGTCATAAATCAGATTGATCAAAAAGCTAATGTCAGGCTCTGATCATCAAGACTTAATGACCAAAAAAGCCCTGAC